AGAAGAATGCTAGCGTGCAAAAAATAAGGCAGCTGGAGCTCTGAGGTAGAGTCTTAGTAAGGAAGGGTATACGTGCAATTGCCGATGGAGCCAGATGCGTGTGCATCACATTGGTAACCTAATCACTTTACATTTGAATACATTACGGATCCGGAATGCCTTTCAAAACGCGTGCCGTAGTGTTGCTTTGCCGGGCCGTCCCTATACGACGCGAAAGTGGCGTGGAAAATAGCTTCCCTTTCTGACATTGTATGAATTCAAGGTTGCTTTCAACGCCCATGATCCACATCATGTACTTACTTACCATCCCAGCTCGTTATTGTTTTGCCTCGAGGCTCGTTCCATTTCTCAAACATGTTTCTCTGTCTCGCAACACCACGGAACGAAATTCCAAAGATACTTGCTTAGGCCACACCAAGTGACCGCGAGTTAAGCAAAACAAATTGAACCGATGTAGTCTAAATTGATTACCTCGATGCGTATCATTGCATTTCCTCGCCCCTGCTTGACTGACTCTCATCTGCTTCCAAGCCTGACTTCGTTGAAGGGCGCCCAAATAGGGCTGTAGTGCGGCCCAACTTTTGGCCCAGTAGCCAGAAGTATTCTTTGACTGATGATGACCAATATCGGCTCGTTGGTACTTGTTCCACACTTTCCTAGCATTGAAAGTGCGCGGCGGTAGAATTACATTTTTCTGAGAAGTCGCTGATACGGTGAGTCGACGTCGACTGTTTTCCCTTTATATGACAAACACTTTCTCAAGGGTCAATATGGCCGTCCGAATGAGCTCCAGCAGTTACCATTACTCTGTCCGCAAACCAGGTCAGAAGAGTGCTCATGCACAGTCTGGTTGATCTAAGTAAGAATCAACAGCAGAAACAAATGAAATTTGACTCATCGGCTAATGAGAGCGACTTGCCAAGAGGTATTTTCACTGATACAGTGAGTTTTCTATATCGAACTTTGTGATAAATATCTTCTCAAGGACCAACGTTTGTTCAAGAATTAGAGGCCTGCCGTACGAATGAACTCCAGCCATTGTCATTCCTCTGACGCAATGCGTCGTATATTTCCGAGTCCGATGCTTGGACCTGTCATCATAAGGCTTCGAGAGAGGAAGGTTCGGTGTCAATCTGGCCGTGCCAAGACATAACAGTGTCCTCCGTTTCTTTGAAGCGTAATCATATAAAAGGTCTTCGCATCCTATAGCTACAGAACAACAATGTTCCATCTCAGCTTTGAATCGCTGCATACTGACTTCTCGACGGTCATCACCACTATTATTGTATTGGCCATCCTGGTTCATCTGGTCCCGTACCTAATCGACTCTCATCGACTCCGTTCGTATCCTAGTCCCCTGCTCGCCAAATTTTCCGATGCATGGCTAGCATATGTGGCTTACCATGGACATCGTTCGGAAGTCGTTCATGACCTCCATAGGAAATATGGTCAGTTCATCGTAGCTGTTCACTCTCGTCAATGGCTAATTGTTATCTCTCAAGGACCCTTCGTTCGATTAGCGCCTAATCACATTTCTGTGGCATTGTCGGACGCACTGCCAGTGGTATACGGGCACGGAAACGGGACACTCAAGTCGTCGTTCTATGACGTATTTGCGTCAACATCTCCAGGACTGTTTGATACTCGCGATCGCCAAACACACACTCGCAAACGAAAAATCATCTCACATACTTTTTCGCAGAAGAGTGTACTGGAGTTTGAGCCGCACGTACGCAGTTATGTCAGCCAACTTCTGGGACATTGGGACAAGTTGTATGACAAGAGTCTGAAAGGCATGTCGGGCAAGGAAGGAAATGGTTGGACAGGTCGTGATGGAAGGCTTTGGCTGGACTGTTTCCCGTGTAAGTCGATTTCCTATATTGTCTTCGTCTCGTACTGACTGTTGGCTTTCACAGGGGCGAATTATCTCACGTTCGATATCATAGCTGATCTAGCATTTGGGGCCCCTTTCGGGATGATCATGGCAGGCAAAGATTCTGCCCTCGTGCCTAAGGATCAACATGCTGCGATGGATTCTTACGGGAAGGTAGGCGCAAAATATGCCACGAAGGAGGTCGCAGTCATCAAAACTGTGGGTGGAGTATCGGAGACGTTCCTGGTGACTCTGGGTGCTGTACCTGGGTGGTGGAGGACACTGCTCGGGAGAAGTCCGTTCCTTCGAGAGGGCGGAGAGGACTTCAAAGCCATTGCGGGTTTGGCAATCGTGGCTGTGTCGAAGAGATTGGAGGTACCGACGGACAGGAACGATTTGCTCAACAAGCTGCAAGCTGCGAAGGATGAAGACGTGAGTACCTTTCATCCGATACCTCTTCGGCTCCCTTGACCTGCTTTATTTACCAAGGGTAACCCAATGTGCAAAGAAGAGCTCACTGCAGAAGCGGTGACGCTTCTTGCTGCAGGAGGTGATACCACAGCCAAGTAAGTCCTTTTCTTTTCTATGAGTACAGTACCTAAACTCAATTATTTGTTCAGCACTACCTCTGCCATCATCTACTACCTCGCGCGCACCCCGAGTGTACAAGAGAAACTTCAGAAGGACCTGGATGAGCATCTTGATTCTGACGTCGCTACAGTTGAACAGGTAAAGGGCCTTTCTTATTTGCAAGCGGTCATCAACGAGGGGCTACGAGTGTATTCTACGCTGGCTATGGGGCTCCCCCGCGAAGCACCTGAGGGCGGTATAACGATTTCAGGAAACTACTTCCCTGGTGGTACGATTATCAGTGTCCCTACTTATACCATCAATCGGGACCCAACCGTATTTGGTGACGACGTGGAGGAATTTAGGCCTGAGAGATGGCTCGAGTCCGGCAGTGCTGCAATGTTGAAGGCTTTTGCTCCGTTCTCTGTTGGTCCTCGGTATGTGATCTTGGGTTTCTTAACGAGGTTGAGAGCTGCATTTATACCGTCATAGGGCATGTATCGGGCATAATCTGGCGAATATGGAGCTGCAGCTCATCATCGGATCGATTTTGAGGCACTTCCACTTCGTCTTGGGGAATCCTGATGAAATTGTGAGTGCTGATTTTTTCCTGGTGTGTCTTGCTAATTTGGGGTTAGTTCGAGGTACATGAAGGTTTCGTCAGGAAACCCGTTAGTTGCCGCGTTGGTATGCGGCGACGTGAAGTGCTTTAGATTATCACGAAGAGACATTTGGCAATCTCTTGTATATACTATAAATACACGTGAATTCAGCTCTGGAATCTTAGCAAAGGGCTGCTAACTTTCATACATGTTGTTATGAAAGACCTTTCGTCTACTAATATCATTGTCGCTTCCGAAGATCCGACTGCTGACCAACCTATTCCAGTGCGAAGGAGATACCGTTTTCTTCTCGGATCAGATATATCAAGCGGGAATATTTTTTTAAGCTGATACTGACATGTTTAACAGCCTACGACTCAATTGCTTCAAGATAAAATCTTTTCATAGGATAATATTTCGAAAACAAGGTTTGAACATATGGGAATATGCAAAACAGATTGTATAGTATGCGGCAGAACTATAACGACTGCAATGGCCCGTGATTGATCATGGTGTTTAATCTATTTCCTCGCCTACTAGACGTATGCTCCATCCCTAAGCAGAAGTAGACATGTCTGGCTCGCACTACGTGACTATTGAGCCTGTGGTACTATCCGAATCCTCGACTATGAGGAATGGAACCATATACGCGAGGGTGCTGATTGATAAGACAATCATCTTTGCACGGAGAAAGGGTTATCATTGACAGTCTTGCTAGCGATGTCGACCGTTAATCAATATTGTATAATTTAGGACAAGCTAAATGCACCAATGAGATGTCGCCAACGACAATGACCAACTGACTTACCAATTACGCTTGCCTATTCGTGTGCCGCTGTAGCATTTCGATGATACTTCAATCAAAGTAGAGTCGGAGAATACAGACGACGAAGGTTCAATCGTCGAATATTGTGTGGTAGTGACTTCGACTTTGACCATAACGGCGATATGAGGATATTCCGGTGCGGCAGCAGATGGCGCGCGGAATGTGATAAGAGCGAGGATGTCCTGTAGAATAGGTTAGCTGAGGTCAAGAGGTATATGCGTGGAGCACGTACCTTTACGAAGACCGTGACGGATAGTGCCATTGCAATTGCGATGGCGAAAAAGTAACCGGTGGTTTGGATAAGTTGGTTGTTGGAAATCATAGTTGTGTTGAGTGAGGGAAACTGTAGGAATAGCGGGGGTATATATACGCCAAGAGGGGTATCTACCCCTACCCTTTGATCGCAGTGAGTCTTGGAGTAGAAGCTTGTATAGTGAAACAAAAGTCTCACCAACTTCAAGAAGAAGATGTACGAAAAATCCTTTTAGTTCTTCACCTGCGAGCTTTGAAATGCTTTTCGTTGAGTCAGTTGCGTTGACGCTACCTTGCAGGTCCGTCGGCAATGCAGAGTTGTGTTGTAGGTCCATATGATGTCCGACGGAAGAATAAAAGACTCCGTGGAGGCAATGCAAGACAGAAATAGGGACCCAGTTGAAACTAAAACACGAATTCCACTCGGACGGTAAAAAAGAAAGTGCTTGATTTGGGTATCGCTCCAAGTTTCAGAGACTGGTTCGACTACGTTCGCGCTGCAGTGGTGGCTACTTGCCGGGTGAAGCTAGTAGTGTCTATAAATCGACCAAAGGGCTACAGATAAGATAAATGGAACCTATACATACTGTACCAGTCCACCTTCATCTCATTAATCAGTAAACGCAAAAAAAATTCGCGTATGGTCAGAGAAGAAACCAGAAAAGTAGAACTGGCATCGCTTGATTCAGTTAGTGGAGCTAGCACTAGAACGAGTGAATCGAGAACATCTGACTAATCACGCGAGGAGGACCCGATAACAAAATGGTAAGGCAAATTGAAAGAGCATGAAGGTGAAAATCACAAGTCGGTTTGCCGGGGCTCGGGTCCGAAGTCCCGAACCAGCCAACGCTCGACCGACCCTAAAGCCAGAGTCTTCCTTGCCTTTCTACCAGCCTTCGTGGCCACAGCGCATGGCTTGCCATGTTTGGGCTGTGGGCCCGGCCGTTCCTTATTGGGACCTTGTGCCGGTACCAACACCAACACCATCATGTCCATTCTCGTCCAGACCCCAGACGCCCTTTATATGCCCCAGAAATTATCGACACCTAAACTCGGGATGCCACCGGAAAAGGTTCTCAAATTTGCGTGGTGCGTTCACGTTGGCTATTGAAAACAATGACAATATCTTCGAACAATGCACAACTATATGAAATGTCGCTGCTGGACGCCCCTCGAGCTCAGTACTACTCTATCGCGATGCCCACCTCCTGCGCATGCAGCATCTGTCTCTCCGACTTTGTCGACCCCGTTTGCACGCCCTGTGGTATGCTCAGTCCGCTCTCATTATGACTCTAACTCTAATCATCGCTGGCAGGACATGTCTAGTGCTCGAATTGCATCGCACAGGCAACCAGCATTCTCCGTAATGAGATATCAATCACAGCCCCATGCCCTGCCTGTCGTAAGCAGTTTTCTATACCCGTTCATGCCCTTCCCCTAATAATCAACCGAAGACTCATCAGACGTCTAGCTCTCACGCGACTTTCCCGATTATTTCGGCTACCCCCTCCGAGGCTCTGGCGTGAATGGACTACGGATCAACTTTGAGGACCAGGTGAAGAGACTGGATGAGCGCATCGCGAGTTTGGAGCGAGAGAATCAGCGACTTTGAAGTAGGGACTTGTTGCTGCCATCTAGAAATATGTGCGATGAAAATAAGAGGTCCAGCCGGTCTGTGCCATGGCTTGCACACACGGCCTGTACGGTTCAGGATTCCCGCGCATGAGGTGGTTGGATGTCAATGCAACCTCGCTAGGCCATGATAATGTTCTCCGTTCCTTTGAGATTGCGGCCTCGCATATACACTCAGAATCAAAATGCTCCATCTTTGCTTCGAATCACTGCATACCGACGCCCCGACGATCAACACCACTGTGGTTGCATTGGCCGTCTTGGTTCATCTGGTCCACTACCTCATCGACTTTCATAGGCTCCGCTCGTATCCTGGTCCTCTGGTCGCCAAGTTCTCCGATACATAGCTAGCATGCGTGTCTTACCAGGGACGTCGCTCGGAAGTCATTCACGACCTGCATAGGAAGTAAGGTCAGTGTGATCTTGCATCCGTTTGCGCCATTCAAGGACTGATTAGTCTCATCGAAGGTCCCTTTGTCCGCCTAGCACCTAACCACATTTCCATAACTTTGCCAGACGCCCAGCCACTGATATACGGATACGGAAATGGAGCCCTAACATCGTTGTTCTACGATGTGTTCGTGACTACATCTCGTAGTCTGTTTACAGTCCGCGAGCGCCAGAGTCATACTCACAAACGGAAGATCACCTCACACAACCTTTCGCAGAAGAGCGTTGTAGAGTTCTAGACGTATGCCGTTATATCGGTCAACTGCTGGGGCAGTGGGAGAAGCTGTATGCTCAGGCTTTGAAAGGCGTATCAGGTGAGGTTGAAGTGAAGGCTGGAAAGGTCCTGATGGAAGACTTTGGCTGGACTGCTTTCCACGTAAGTGATGTCCTCTATTAGTCTTCTTTGCGCACTTATGACTGCTGTTCGCAGGGGCAAACTATGTCACGTTCGATATCATCAATGACCTCGCGTTTGGGAGGCCATTCGGGATGACCGCAGCAGGCAAGGATTCCGCTCCAATGGCTCAGGATCAACATGCCGTGATGAACTCTTATGGACAAGTGGGGGTGAAACATGCCTCGAGGGAAATTCAAGTTATCAAGATGATAGGTGGTCTGTCGCAGACGTTCCTTGCGACGTTGGGAACTTTGCCTAGGTGGTGGAGGTCGCGAATCAAGCTGAATCCGCTTATGTGGGAGGGCGGACAGGACTTCCGTGATATTATAGGGCTGGCTATCATGGCTGTATCAAAGAGGTTAGAGGCGCCGACGGACAGGAATGATATACTTAGCAAGCTGCAAGCTGGGAAGGACGAAGACGTGAGTAGTTTTCCCAATTACCTCAGCTATACTTAGTGCTAGCGTACTTGATATACTAAGGGTAATCCAATGGGAAGGGAAGAACTGACTGCAGAAGCGTTAACTGTTCTCATTGCCGGATCTGATACCACCGCCAAGTGAGTCCTTTTGTGTTCTATCAGTGCAATGCATATACTTAATGCTCTGCCCAGCTCTACCTGTGCCCTCATCTACTACCTTGCACGCACCCCGAGCGTACAAGAAAAGCTTCAGAAAGAGCTTGACGAGCACCTGGACTCCCAAGTCGCTACAGCTGAACAAGTGAAGAACCTCCCCTACCTGCAGGCGGTCATTAACGAAGGTCTGTGACTGCATCCCACGGTGGCGATGGGTCTTCCCCGCATAGCACCCGAAGATGGTATGGCGATTTTAGGCAACCACTTCCCTGAGGGCACGACTCTCAGCGCGCCTATCTATACGATTCATAGGGACTCAGCGGTGTTTGGAGACGATGTGGAGGAGTTCAGGCCTGAGAGATGGTTCAAATGTGATAGTGCCGACGTTTCGAAGGTGTTCGCTCCATTCTCTGTTGGCCCTCGGTATGTCGAGTATCTTATCGATGTTCAGGGTTGAGCTCATACCATCACAGGGCATGTATCGGGCGTAATTTGGCGAACCTCGAGCCGCAGATTATCATTGGGTCAAATTTCAAGCACTTCCATATCGTTTTGGAGAATCCTGATGAAAAGGTAAGTAGCGGGGTTGTTTGACATGCCCCTTGCTGACTGACTTTTGTATTAGCTTAAAGTACACGAGGGCGTCTTGAGAAAGCCGGTCGAATGTCGTGTTGGCCTGAAGAGACGCGAAGTACTCTAATTCATCACGATAAGCTTCTCCGATCATTTCATGTGCAAGTTTACACAAATTCAGTTGTAGAATGTAACGCTGATGTCTGTTTATTCTCCTACACTGTGGTGCCAAACTTGAAAAACGTCTGAATGCCATCCTCGTTTCCGGCGATCATATCATATAATCCTCAGCTCAATTCTTTTCACATCACAAAACATTTCGAGACTAGGACTCGAACCTATCGGAATGTGCAGAATAAACGTATAGTATATGGTATCGTGCGACACTACTGTAACGACTACCAGTCTGGTTAATCACAGTGTCTAATGCCTCCGTTTACCTCCTCCCCGCCTACTGGACATATACTCCATCACTAAAGTGAAGATAAAGACTTTAGGCTCGCACGACGTGACTATCGAGCCTGTCGTACTATGCTATGTAGCACCGCCAAATCCTTGGGATGGAACTACATACGCGAGGATGCTGATTGATGGAACGATGGTCCATGCACAGAGCGAAGATCATTGACGGCCTTTGTAGCCTGGCTGGTCGAACGACGATCTCCTTCAATCTTGTATAATCTAGGACAAGCTAAATGTACTAATGAGATATATAGGCCAACGACAGCGACAAGGTGACTTACCGATTACGCTTGCCTACCCGTGTGCCGCTGTAGCACTCCGAAGATACTTCGATGAAGGTGGAGTCAGAGAATACCGACGACGATGGTTCAACCGTCGAATATTGTGTGGTAGTGACTTCGACCTTCACCATAACGGCAATGCGAGGATATTCCGGTGCGGCAGTAGACGCGCGGAATGTTATAAGAGCGAGGATGTCCTGTAAAATATGTCAGACGAGGTCCATATGTATAGACGCGAAGCACAAACCTTTACGAAGACCGTGACGGATAATGCCATTGCAATTGCGATGGCAAAGAGATAACCGGTGGTTTGGCCCGGATGAGTTGGTTGTTGCAAATCATGGTTCTATTGAGTGAGGAAAAGTGGAGTAATAGCGGGGGTATTTATACGCCAGAGAGGCATCTACCCCTACTCTACGATCGCAGTAAGTCTTGGAGCAGAAGCTTGTATAATGAAACAAGAGTCTCACTGACCTCAAGAAGGAGATTTACAAGTATCCTTAGTTCTTCACTCGCGAGTTTAGAAATACTTTCCGTCGAGTCATTTGCGTTGACGTCACCTTTCCAGGTCGCAGTCATGTTGTGGGTCCATATGATGGCCGACGGACGAATAAAAGAGTCTGCGGAGGCAATGCAAGACAGAAATAGGGTCTACCGATTGAAACTAAAACGTGAATTCCACGCCGACGGGAAAAAGGAAGTGTTTCCTTTACATTCCGCTCCAAAGCTTCAGAGACTAAGATGACACTGGTTCGTGCTGCAGTGGTGGCTACTTGAGGGGGGAATCCAGTAGCGTCGCCGTCTATCAATCGACCAAAGGGCTACACATCAGAGAAATAGGATCTGTTCATAATGTACCAGTCCATGTTTACCTTGTGAATCATACCAATGAAGCGTACTACTAGTACGGCCAAAGAAGAAACCAGAAATGTAAAATTTGGTATCGCTTGGTTCAGCTGCCAAGGTAAGTGCTGCGAAGCTAGCACCAGGACGAGTGAATTGACGACCACTGGCCTACCGCGAAGAAGGCCTGGTAGCATATGGGAAGAAGGTAGTGAAATTTGAATGTGCCATTAAAAAGATCCTAGTTTGTCGGAACTCGGGTCCGAAGTCACGAAGTGGCCAAACGCTCGGCCGACCCTAAAGCTCAAATCATCTTTGCTTCCCTACCATCATGTCCATTTTCATTGAGATCCCAGACATCCTCTATATGCCCCAGCAATTATCGACACTTATACTCGAGATTCCACTGGGAAATGTTCTCAAATTCGCGTGGTGCTTTTGCCGTCAAAAACAATGAAAAATCTTCGAACAATGCACAGCTATAAAATGTTGCTGGACGCCTTTCTACTACTCTATCGCCACGTCTACCTCCTGCGTATGCAACATCTGCCTCTCCGACTTTGTCGACCCCATTTGCACGCCCTGTCGTACGCTCTCTTCTCCTGGCATTAGGACTCACTCTGATTATCGGTGGCAGGACATGTCTACTGCTCGAATTGCATCGCACAGGCAACCAGCATTCTCCGTAATGAGGGATCAACCACGTCCCCATGCCCTGCCTGTCGCAAGCAGTTTTCTATACGTGACGACCCCGTTCGTGCCCTTCGCCTAACTTTAATCAACCAAAGGCTGAGGCTCATCAGACATCCAGCTCTCACGCGACTTTCACGAAACTGGACGTTCTACGTGAATGGAATACAGGTCAACTTTGAGGACCAGGTGAGGAGATTGCAGGAGCGCATCGCGAGTTTGGAGCGAGAGAATCGCCGACTTTGAAATAGGGACTTGTTGCTGCCATCTAGAAATATGCGCGATGAGAACGAGAGGTACAGCTGGTCTGTGCCATGGCTTGCACGCACACCCCGTACAGTTCAGGATTTCCGCGCATGAGGTGGTTCGATGTCAGTGTGACCTCGCTAGGCCCTCCGTTCCTTTGAGATTGCGACCATATAAAAGCCCTCGCATATACATTCAGAATTAAGATGCTCCCTCTTAGCTTCGAATCCTGCATACCGACGTCCCGACAGTCATCACCACCGTGGTTGCATTGGCCGTCTTGGTTCATCTGGTCCCCTGCCTCATCGACTTTCATAGGCTCCGCTCGTATCCTGGTCCTCTCGTCGCCATGTTCTCCGATACATGGCTAGCATGTGTGTCTTACCAGAGACGTCGTTTGGAAGTCATTCATGATCTGCACGAGAAATACGGTTAGTGTGTTCCTACATTTTCTTGTGCTATTCAAGGACTAATCGGTCTCCCTGAAGGTTCTTTTGTCCGCCTAGCGCCTAATCATATTTCTATAGCTTTGCCGGACGCCCAGCCACTGATATACCGACACGGAAATGGATCCCTGAAGTCATCGTTTTACGACGTGTTCGTTACTACATCTCGTAGTCTGTTTACAGTCCGCGAACGCCAGAGTCATACTTGCAAATGGAAGATCATCTCACACAGCTTCTCGCAGAAGAGTGTGTTGGAGTTCCAGCCATATGTACGCCGTTATGTCGGTCAACTGCTGGGACGGTGGGAGAAGTTGTATGATCAGGCTTTGAAAGGCGTGTCGGGTGAGATTGAGGCTGAGGCTGGAAGGGTCGTGATGGAAGGCTTTGGCTCGACTGCTTTCCATGTAAGCGATGTTCTCTATCAGTCTTCTTTGCCCACTTATGACTGTTGTTCGCAGGGGCAAACTATGTCACGTTCGATATCATCAGTGATCTAGCGTTTGGGAGGCCATTCGGGATGACCGTAACAGGCAAGGATTCCGCACCATGGCTCAGGATCAACATGCTGTGATGATCTCTTATGGACAAGTGGGGGTGAAACATGCCTCGAGGGAAATTCAGGTTATCAAGACGATAGGTGGTCCTTCGCAGACATTCCTTGCGACGTTGGGAGCTTTGAACACCAAATTCGGACCAGATAAATTCCAGGCTTACTCTCACCACCCAACTTTGTCCGTTTCCTAAACGTAAATCCGAAATGGATGGTTGATTGCCAGTTTCTGTCTATACCTCATGAATCTGCAGGAGCAGGACGTATGTTGCGAAATGAAATTTCCCTTCTCTTCTGCGGAAGGCCAGCACATCCCTTCTAATGCCACTTTATCTGCACCATTCTTCACATTTCCTGTCTGGATTCGGGTACTTATCCTGCGCAGCAGTGTAATTTATCTTCTCAACACAACTGATGGCAGCTCTAAAACTATGTGACTTGTTCAGGCTGACGGTTGTGCCAGATCTAGAGGCGAAATTTTAAGTCTACTGCCAGGCTGGGCCAGGTGACTCTCGAGCAGCAACAATCGCTAGGAACCGAGGTAGTCTAAATTGGCGACTCTCATGCAAAGCGGTGCCTTTGATTGCCCACACTTGAGATTTGTCCGCTTCTTATTGCATGCCTGACACCCTTGGAGAATCATATTAAATAGGACTTGAGTACGGGCCCTCGCTTCCGGTCCAGTAATCAGAGGTATCCAAATAACACTCGGATGCGGATAATCTTTGAGTGATGACAATCCACGACGACTCATCCGGAAGCTTTTCCCCACTTTCCTGACACTCAAAGACCACCGCTATAGAAGAACATCGTGTCCGAGAAGTCGCCTCGTGCTTTTCTTCGAAACGTTTTTACTAATACGGTACGGTGATGTCGACGTTTTCCCTCCGTATGACAAATGTCTTCTCAAGCATCAATGCTGCTATCACTCACATGAGCTCCAACCGTCATCACCTCTGACGCTATGTATTGCCGGGTCTGATGCTTAGACCTATCATGAAGGAGGAAGGTTCGGCGTTGATGTCAAAGCATAGCAGTACTCTCTGGATCTTTGAAACGTAGCCATATAAAAGGTCTTCGTATCAGGTAGCTACAGAACAACGATGTTCTATCTCAGCTTTGAATCACCGCATACCGACCTCCCGACAGTTATCACCACTGTTATTGCATTGGCCATCCTGGTTCATCTGGTCCCCTACCTCATCGACTCTCATCGACTTCGCTCGTATCCTGGTCCTCTGCTCGCAAAGTTTTCCGATGCATGGCTAGGATACGTGGCTTACCACGAACATCTTTCGGAGGTTGTTCATGATCTGCATCGCAAATATGGTCAGTCCATGTTGAGATCTTTTCGTGCTCTTCAAGGCTAATTCATGTCGCTGAAGGTCCCTTTGTCCGCATAGCGCCCAATCACATTTCTGTGGCCCTGTCGGATGCGCATCCCTTGGTATACGGGCACGGAAATGGGGCACTGAAATCGTCGTTCTATGATGTGTTTGCGAGCACATCCCGTTCCCTATTTGACATTCGCGATCGCCAGGCCCATACTCGCAAACGAAAGATCATCTCGCACGCTTTTTCACAGAAGAGCGTCCTCGAGTTTGAGCCGCATGTACGCAGTTACATCAGTCAACTGCTAGGACAATGGGACAAGCTATATGACAAGGCTCTCAAAGGAATGTCAGGGGAGGAAGGTGAAGGCTGGACGGGTCGTGATGGGAGGATGTGGCTGGACTGCTTGCCATGTAAATGAGCTTCCTCTTTCGTTTTCCACCTCGTGCTTACCGCTGCTGTTCGTAGGGGCAAACTATCTTACGTTCGATATTATCGGTGATCTGGTGTTTGGTGCTCCATTCGGGATGATCACAGCAGCGAAAGATTTTGCTCTGGTTCCTAAAGATCAACATGCCGTGTTGAGCTCTTACGGGAAAGTAGGGACAGAGTATTCTACAAAGGAGATTGAGGCTATCAAGACTTTGGGTGGATCACAGCCCTTCGTGGCGACGGCGGGACCTTTACCTGGATGGTGGAGGCCACTAGTCAAATACACTCCATGGCTTTGGCAGGCAGGAAAAGACTTTGACGCCATGATAGGGATGGCGATGGTGGCGGTATCGAAGAGGTTGGAAGTACCGACAGACAGGAATGATTTGCTTAGCAAGCTGCTAGCCGGGAAAGATGAAGATGTGAGTAGCTTTTTGCCAATTATTCTGCAATCGTGCTGAACTTATTAGGGCAATCCAATGGGTCGCGAAGAACTCACTGCAGAAGCGTTGACTCTTCTCATAGCAGGATCTGATACCACAGCCAAGTAGGCATTTTTCCGTTCCGTCAGTGCAACGCATAAACTCAATGATCTACCCAGCTCTACATGTGCCATCGTCTACCATCTCGCGCGCACACAGAGCGTACAAGAGAAACTTCAGAAAGAGTTGGACGAGCACTTGGGCTCTGACGTCGCTATAGCCGAGCAGGCGAAGAACCTCCCCTACTTGCAAGCAGTCATCAACGAGGGGCTGCGTCTGTATCCCGCGGTGGCTATGGGGCTTCCTCGTGTAGCACCTGAGGGCGGGATGATGATTTTAGGAAATTACTTCCCTGCTGGCACGATTGTCAGTGTCCCTACTTATACGATTCATCGGGACCCAGCGCTGTTTGGGGATGATGTCGAAGAGTTCAGACCTGAGAGATGGTTTGAACGTGACAGCGCCAGCATGTCTAAAGCGTTTAATCCGTTCTCTGTTGGCCCTCGGTATGTGATCTCTAGTTTTTTATCGACGTTCAAGCTTGAGCTTATACCATCACAGGGCATGTATTGGGCGTAATCTAGCGAACCTCCAACTGCAGATCATCATTGCGTCAATTTTCAAGCGGTTCCATTTCGTTTTGGAGAATCCTGATGAAAAGGTGGGTGGCGGTACTGTTTTTGACATGTGTCTTGCTGACTTTTGGATAAGCTCCAAGTGCACGAGAGCTTCGTGAGGAAACCAGGACCTTGTCGTGTTGGTATAAAAGCACGCGAAGTGCTCTAGTTCAATATGGTAAGGTGTTGGGACCATAATATGTACATGTATGTGTGAATCCCGACAAGAATATATTGAAGCAGATGGCTATTCTCTCCGAATGTTGCCGCCGCGTTCAGAGATACTACCAAATGACCCCGAGTCACAGCATCGATGGGGATAAGTACTTTGTATCGAGTGGGGCAGCTGCTTACCATGCCTCACCATTTGACTACGAGTTCAGAGTAGAAATGAAATTCGACCGTCATGCGTCTGATCCGCTTATATTATTTTGGATAGCCTTTGCCACACAAGTCGCTACGGTTTACTCTGCGACGGTTCACTCAAACCGCTATTTATCTTCCAATCAGTTAAAGAATCGGCGTTCTCATTTTAGTCTCGAGGCCTTCAGTCGCTGAAGCGTTCATTGTCCAAGTAGATAGGCCTTGCGCGGATTCGCTTTTATTTCCAGTAGGTGATATTTCATAGCTAAGATTCAAACGTGGCGGCCCAAGGATGTACAGTACATGGCACTGTGGGGCAAGCTAGGGAGACTGCGAGTACCACCGGAAGAACGGTATCTGCCTCTCGCGTATTAGATATGTGCCCGATTTGACCATGAGGTGAACAAAGACGCATTCGTCTTAGGCTCGCACGAGGTAGTTTATTGGTGCCTCTTCACCTCTAGTACACCGCCAAACCTTCACCTCTCGACCACCCCTCGAAACGCGGTAAAGCCGTATAGATGAAGAGGCTACTAGCTGAGGGGATGACGGTCCATGTATACTGGCAGGACCGCCTTTCTGGCCTGAACCATCCGCCGACAATGTTTCAAACTTCGTGTGGTTTAAAGCAAGCTAAATGAGGCAATTAGTGATGAACTAAGACAACGGCGAGATGACTTGCCTACTACACTTGCCTACTCGTGCGCCACTGTAGCATTCCGATGATACTTCAATCAAAGTAGAGTCGGAGAATACCGACGAGGAAGGTTCAATCATCGAATATTGTGTGGTAGTAACTTCGACCTTGACCATAACGGCGATGCGAGGATATTCCGGTGTGGCAGCGGATGGTGTGTGGAATGTGATAAGAGCGAGGATGTCCTGTCAAACAGGTAAGATGAGGTCAATAGGTGTACGCACGGAGCACATACCTTTACGAAGACCGTGACGGATAGTGCCATTGCAATCGCGATGGCGAACAAGTAACCGGTGGTTTGGATAAGTTGGTTGTTGGTAATCATGTTTGTGTTGAGGGAGGGAAGTTGAGTGAATAGCGGGGGTATATATACACCAAGAGGGGTATCTACCCCTACCCTTTGATCGCAGTGAATCTTGGAGCAGAAGCTTATATAGTGAAACAAAAGTCTCGCCGACTTTGAGAAGGAAATTTACTACAAGTCCGTTTAGTTCTCCACCCGCGAGTTTAGAAATACTTTTCGTCGAGTCATTTGCGTTGACGTCACGTTTCCAGGTCCGTCGGCAACGCAGAGTTGTGTTGTGGGTCCGTATGATGTCCGACGGAAGAATAAAAGAGTCCGCGGAGGCAATGCAAGACAGAAATAGGGACCCAGTTGAAATGAATTCCACTCCGACGGAAAAAGAAAGAGCTTAATTTGGGTATCGCTCCAACGCTTCAGAGACTGGTTCGACTACGTTCGTGCTGCAGTGGTAGCTACTTGCCGGGTGAATCCAGTAGCGCCTATCAATCGATTAAAGGGCTACAGATCAGAGAAGAAACCAAAAATATAGCAGCAGAACTGGCGTCGCGTGGTTCAGTTAGCAAGATAAGTACTGTGGAGCTAGCACCTGGACGAGTGAATTGAGAATAACCGGCACCTCGCGAGGAGGGCCCGATAACAAAATGATACGAAGGCAGTGAATGTACTTGCAGAGAAATCATAAGTCAGTTTGTCGGGGCTCGGGTCCGAAGTCCCGAAACA